GGGGCGGGCTGGGGTGGGCCCGCGGCTGGGAGCGCGCGGGAGTGGGGAGGGGGGCGTGGGAACGGGATGTTCCCGCGGTGCGGTGCGGGGTCACGGGTGGGCACAGCCCGGGGGAGGAGGGATGGCGGTGGGAGATGCGCCCGCTGAAACGGAGTGCCCCCATCCCCGTTCCCCTCACAGCCCGCAGCACCCTCACCGCGCTCCCCACGCACTCAGGAGCAGCCACGCGGCCCCAGGGCAGCCCAGCGGGTTTATTGTGGAGGGGACATACAGAGCAGCCATGCCAGCCCAGGGCACCGCGCACCCCGGCACGGCCAGGGCTTGGCACAGAAGCGGGGCCGGGGGGCGAACGCGGGTGTCCCGCAGCAGGATCCATCCCCCGAGAGCCGCCCCGCAGCGGGACTCGCCCTCCCGGGGGCTGCGGGCGTCCCGCAGCAGGACCCATCCCCTCGGTGGCGGGGACAGCGCGCAGGGCTCCTTTCGCCCCTCGGTCCATAAGGTATATAAATATAGAAGCTGTGGTATCCATCCTATGTATATATGTACATCGGGGCGCTGCGGCGGGCTGAGCGGCGGCCCCGTCACGGGAGCCACGCGTCGCTGTAGAGGGAGCGCGCCTTGGCGCGGCGCCGGGCCGCGGCGCTGGCGTGGAGCACGGCCACGCTGCGCCGGCTGGAGCTCACCACGTCCGTCACGAAGCCCGCGCAGTCGGAGCACACGTCGCGCAGCACCGAGCCCTGGGCGTAGATGTGGGGGAATTCCTCCTCCACCCGGCGCCAGCACGGCCCCGAGAGCGAGCTGCGGCACAGGGCACCCCGTCAGCCCCCGCCGCGGAGGAGGAGGAGGAGGGGAGGGGAGGAAGGCTCGGCACTCACTGGAAGGGCTCCCTCCGGCGCAGCGGCGGGGCTTTGGGCAGCAGCGAGCCTGGCAGGCTCTCGAAGCCCAGCGCGTAGACGGGGATGTGAGCCAGCTTCTTGGAAGGCATCTTCATCTGCGGGATGCGGGAGTCAGCGAGGGACAGGGACAGGGATAGGGATAGGGCACACAGGGGTGGGGGTGCCTCAGAGATCGGTACAGCGACAAGGCGGGACAGGAGTGGAGTGGGACGGGGCAGGGACAGGGAGAAGATGGGGCACGAGAGGGGCAGGGACACAGTGGCACTGCCCAGAGCCTGTCCCTTACCTTCAGACTGCAGGAGCTACAGACAGACCTGGGGACACAGAGAGAGGTGGGTGAGAGGGCCCATTGTGGGGACCCTGCTGCTGCCCTCCCAGCCCTGTGACATGGCACAGCATGGCACGGTGCTCACCGCTTGCAGAAGAAACACGACGTGGGCCAGGAGAAAAGAGGAAACTTGGCCCTGCAGCAGCAGCAGACCTGTGGGCAGAGCAGGGTGAGCTGGGTGGGGACACGTGGCCCCCAGTCCCTCCAGCCCCTGTCCCCACTCCCACCTTGCCCCTGCGCAGGCTGCTGTACAGTTCCTTGCTCTGCAGGAACTTCTCCATCTCCGCCTTGACCAGCACCCTGCGCACGTTGATCATCTCCTCCACAGTCAGGGCCAGGCTCTCCACAGGGTGGCTGAACTCCTGTGGGACAGGGGGGATGTCACACTGCACTGTGGCACAGGGCACGATCCAGAGCACTCCTGTGCCAGGGCAGAGCCTCTGAACATGGGCAGAGCATCCCTGGTACAGGCAGAGCGTCCCAGGAGAGGCAGAGTATCTCTGGCACTAGGACCCCCAGCCACCGTATGTCCTCATGCCAGGCTGCCATGTGCCCGCGGTCATGTTTGCCTGGTGTCCCCAGCCCCAGTGCTCCCAGCTGGTGCCCCCAGAACCCACCAGCCAGAGGTGCTTGGAGCTGCTGGCAGGGGCAGCGCTGGATCCATCCTCGGGCCTCTCCTCCACGGCGCCAAGGGCAGCCCGGGGCAGTGCTGGGCCATCTGGCAGCGGGTGGCAGCTGGCAGGGACAGAGCCTGCAGGGAGGGACAGGGAGGCCGTGGCAAGGACGTGTTGCCTGGTGCCACCACCGCTGCCAGCCATGGCACAGACCCCCTGGAGACAGGCTCATAGGGACCCCCGGCAGTACCTGAGCGGGGCCGGGGCTCGGGCTGCAGTGGCTCTGGGTCCCGGGGCACAGCCTGGTCACCCCCCAGCTGGCTCTGCAGCTGTGCCAGGTCCTGCTCTGAGAAGGAGCGATCCCGCTTCAGCGGCACCTCCGTGGCCGGAGAGTCCTCGTCCTGCAAGGCCATGGGCACCGTGGCACCAAGGGCACCCCGGCACCCCCCAGGTGTCCCCACCTCTGCAGGCTCTGCCTTGCCTCGGAGAGGTTCATCTCCTCCATCTCGGCCAGGGTGGGCGCCTTGAGCAGGACGCGTGGCCGTGGGCGCGCGGGCACGGCGCTGGCCGGGCACCGGGACAGCTCGAGGCAGGAGCTGGAGCTCAGGCGGCCGGCGCAGGCGTGGGGGATGCAGGGCAAGGAGCTGTATCCTGCGGAGGGACAGGCTGAGTGCCACGGGGATGGGCACACAGGTGACAGCACGGTGGGGAGGGGGCACCGGTACCTTTCTGCTCCACGGGCCGGAGCTTCCGCTCCTGCCTGATCTCCTCCAGGATCTTCTCGTGGAGCGTCCTCTGCTTCTGGGGCAGTGGCCGCAGCCGCCGCTCTGATGCCTGTGGGATGCACAGGTGGGACCTCAGTGTGGCTCAGGAATGGCACCCATGGGAGCCACCAACACTGTCATGCCAGGGAGGTGGCCCAGTGCTGGCACTCACCTGCTTCAGGGGGGGCCGGGAGCGGATGAAGTCCAGTATGAGCTCGTGGGCATCTTTCTTCACCCGGGGGGGGATGTCTCCATCCACCTGGGGAGGGCAGGGGTCAGTGCCAGGCTGGAGAGTGGCAGGATGGAGGGTGAGGGGCTGGCACAGTGGCCACGCTCACCATGACCTTGCGCAGTTTGTAGTTGCGGGCACGGATGTCCTGCATGAGCATCTCGAAGGGTGTGAGCTGGTACTCGGTGGGCAGAGGGTTGAACTGCTTCTCCTGCACCTTCTTCAGCTTCACACCATGCCGCAGCTCCCGCATCAGCTGCACCCACAGCCGGGCCTGGGGGACACACGAGCACGGGGTGAGCACCCACCCCTGCCCAGCGCAGCCCCCTGCCCGGCCACGCTGCCATACCCAGTCTGTGTTGCGCAGGTTGCCCAGCTCCGCCGCCGGCCGCTCCTCCTCTTCCTCATCCTCCTTCAGCTTCTGCAGTAGCTGTTGAGGCACAAGGTGCTGTCACCTTGTCCTGGTGGCACTGAAGGTCCAGCCAGGACTGTGCCAAGGGGCTGCAGCACTGAGGTGCACCCCAATTCCTGATTCCCAGCAGTCTGGGAGAGGCTGCACGGCCAAGCACCAGCAGCCCTGGCTGGGATGGGCAGTGGGGCACTGCAGCCTCCCCAGTCCCTTGTCACTGCAGGCGGCTTCCTGGGCAGGGCAGCGGTGCCAGCGGACACCCTCGCTCACCTCCTTGGCGTCGCGGATCTTGGCGAGGAAGGCCATGAGCTCCACGGTCTCGGCGAAGAGGGCGCGGCACACAGCCTGGTAGTGCGCGGGGGCGCCGGCGGGGTCGGCCAGGCGGGCGGCGCAGCAGCGCATGGCCTGGCCGAAGGTGCGCACGGAGCGGGGCTGCCCCTCGCCGCCCTCCTCCTCCTCATCCTGCCCCCCATAGCCCTCGTCGGCCGTGGCGCAGCCGCTGTCCTCGGAGTCGCTGTTGGTCATCAGGTCGATGAGCTGCTCCAGGCGCGGGCTCAGCTCCCGCTCCTCGTTCTCGTCCAGCCCCCAGTCCAGCGCCCGGTACACGGCAAAGCCCAGCGACTGCACCATCTGCAGGGGACAGCGCCCTGGCACCAGCTGTCCCCGGCCCCTCCTTGGTGCTGGGTCCCGTCCAGGACCCGTGACCCCCGGGCGAGGGGGGCAGGCGGCCGTGCCCAGCCCGCAGCGGGCTGCGGGGACACACGGGGCGGGTCACCGGCCCCCACGTACCTGGGCTTCGGCAGAGGGCGTCAGCAGCGCGGGCAGGTCTGGGGGAGGAGGGCAGAGTCAGCACCGGTACCCACGGCCCCGTGCTGAGTACCCCACCCCGCATCACCCAGGGATGTGGTACCCACCCACTCCGGCCTGGGGCGCCCACCCTGAGCTGCTCACACCCCCTGCTGCTCCTCTCTCTAGCTGGGATCCCTCCCCTGGCTCATCCTGTGCTCTCCTGGTCCCAGGCACGGCTCCAAGGGACAGTGGGCACCTGCACGTTGAGCCCTGCTATCACACACTGCTGGCACAGCCTCCCAAAGGGCACATGGAGGGGGCACAAGCACCCATGTACCCCTCACAGCGAGGGTTGGAGGGAGCTGAGAGCTCTGTGTGCATGAGGAGACACCCCCTGCACCCCTGTGGGATGTGGGCACTGGCAGTGTGGACACCAGGAGGCTGGTACAGCAGCACAGGCACCAGCAGTGTGGGGACTGGCAGCCCCAGCTGGAGCATGGCACACACGGGGAGCCCAGGACACGCTTGTGGGCAGCTTGAGCCCTCCTGGCAGCTGCAGGAAAAGGAACACAAGTGGCCTCTGCAGTGTCCCCAGGGCTCCCAGCTCCGCTTCCCTCATTAGCTCTGCATTGAGCTGATCAATGCGGCAGCCACCAGGATGTGCCAGTCGTGTGCCAGCCGTGTGCAAGCCAGGAATGGACAGCAAAGGCAGCACAAGTGGTGGCCCTGCCATGGTACCACACACAAGCCATCAAAAAGCCATCAAAAAACCCTGTCCTGGACTGTGCCTGGCTCCCACTGCAGCACCAGCCCCTGGGATGCCACCTGGTGAGTCCCAGCAGCTCCTGCCAGTCAGTGGGGCATAGCTGAGGGGGGAATTCCTGTAGGATGGGGGACTGGAGTGGTTCCAGAGGGTGCTGCTGGCTCACCCAGCCCGGGTCCAGCCCTGTGCCCTGGCAGAGCTGCACTGCCACATGCCAGGCTGGTGCCACCACCTGCAGTGGCACCCAGAGGCACCCGGAGCCCTCCCAGCCCCAGGCTTCACTGTGAAGGCTTTGCAGGTTCATCCCTGGGGAGACGGCTCAGGTTGGCACAGAAGCAAGCTGGGAGCAGGAGGTGGCACAGTGGCACTGGCAGGTGACACCGGCTCCAGCCCTGCGGTGGCTCAGGGAGGGCGTGGGGCCATCCCATGCAGGACCAGTGGAGCCGGTGTGGCCACGCCGTGCCCGGCTGCCACAGGCACGTGCCGTGCCTGTGCGTGTCCCTGCCCTGGGCAGGGAGCCACCTGATGCTCCCCGGCGTCTGCTCAGCCACCAGCACCGAGGACACAGGGTGACCCCGCCGTGTCCTGCCAGTGCGGTGACACCAGGCGCCATCCCCGGTGGCTTCGCTGCGGGACGAGACAGGTGGAGGCGCCGGCCGTGCTCCAAGGGCTCCTGGTGGCGTCCTGCCACCCGGTGTGACTGCTGGCAGCCAGCCCGGTGACACCCGGAACCGTCACAGCCATAGCCGGCAGTGCGAGCCACCTGTGGAGGGATGGCTGGGAGGGCAAAGGTCAGGGATGGGGCTGGCCCGTGTGCCACTCCCGGGGCCTGGAGCGGGGGACAAGGTTCCCTGCGGTGCGGAGAGGGTGACGGGTGCCGTGGATGTGCCGTGTGGGTGTCTGTCCATCTGTCCTTGCTGTGTGTCCTGCAGCCCCGTGGAGGGTGCCAGGACCACGCAAACACCCACACCTGGCTCCAGCCTCCCTGGGTCACCCAGTGCTAGTGACCTTGTTGGTGCCAGTGCCAATACCAGTGCCACACCACTCCCAGACCCCCAGTCCCCCTGCCCCCAGGCCCCAGGGCACCCCTGGCACCGATACTGGCAGTGCTGGTGCCCGTCCCCCTGCCAGGGCCGGGGCTCAGGGCTCACCCTCGTCCCTGCCGCTGCCACCTTCCTGCTCCCCAGTGCTGGGACCGGCCCTTCCCCCTGTCCTCACAGTCCTCCGGTGACCCCTGACTGCTCCCCTGCTGCCGGTGCCTCGATGCCTGCCCCCCCTCTCCGGTGCCACTTCTGCCCATCTGCCGCTCCGGTACCGGTTCTTCCCCGCCGGGGCCTCTGCGGTGCCCCCCCTCTGCTGATACCCCCGGTCCCTCCGCGTCCCCGACGCCGGTGCAGCACCCCCTGCCGGTGCCGGTAAGTCCCGGTGCCGGTAAGTCCCAGGTCCCCGCTCTTTGTGCTGGTAAGTCCCGGTGCCCCGGGTGCCGGTGCCGAGGAGTCCCGGCGGCAGTCAGCACCGTAGGCTGCTCCCGGTGCCAGCAAGCACCGGTGCGGGCAAATCCCAGCGCCTCGCTCCGTGCACCGGCAACCCCGGTGCCGGTAAGTCCCGATATCCAGGGTCCCGGTCCTAGTTAGCCCTGGTCCCGGTAAGCTCTGGTGCCACCCGTGCCGGTAAGCCCCAGTTTCCCGTTCCTTGTGCTGCTAAGCTCCGGAGCAGGAAAGCCCCGGTGCCGGACCCCAGTGCCGGTAATCCCCGGTGCCCGGCTCCCGGTGCCCGGCTCCCGCCGCCGGTGAGCCCCGGTGCCCCGCTCCCAGCGTCGGTAAGCTCCGGTAAGCCCCAGCGTCCCGGTGTCCCGGGTGTCGGTGCCGGTAAGCCCCGCTAAACCCCGGTAAACCCCGGTGCTCCGCTCCCGCGGTGCCGATAATTCCCAGTACCGGCAAACCCCGGTGCCCCGCTCCCGCTGCCTGTACGCCCCGGTGCCCCCCGGTAAGCCCCAGCAAGTCCCGGTGCCCGTAAGCCCCGGTAAACCCCGGTAAGCCCCGCTTGGCGGTGCCGTCCCGTGCCCCCCCCGCGCGGGCGCCGCCCGCTCCCGCCCCCCCCGGCGGCGGCGGCCCTCACCGTGCGGCGGGGCGGGCAGGCGGAGGGAGCCGTCGGCGCGGAGGCGGATGTCGGCGGTGCGGAGCGGCGCGGGGGCCACGGGGGCGGCGGCGGCGGCGCGGCAGCCCTGGAAGCAGAGCGCCCAGGCCTGCTCCTCGTTCAGCGGCTGCTCGTAGCACTTCAGCACCTCCTCCAGGGACAGCTCCCGCGGCGGCCCCGCGCCCGCCCGCGCCATCGCCCCATCCCGCACCGCCGAGCGCGGGCGGGGCGCGCCGGGC